GTGTGTTCAGTTCAGTGGCGTAACTATCGCCGGTGCAGCCGGTGCAACGCAGTCTATATATATATATTTTGGGGCCCCAATGGCATTGGACCGGTTCACGCAGTCTTCAAAAGTAATTTGTCTGTACAATGACCCTTGCTCCCTTTCATGTCATGTGATACCTTGCGTGACGAGCGAACCGTTAATCAACCTGTAAGCTGTACTGTAGCTAGCAGCAGCAAGTTAGGCAGCATTATAACAAATGTAATAGCTTGCATTTATAATGTACAGCAAACCAAAGCACAAGAGCGGCGCCTAAAAGAGAAAGACAAGAGAGAACAAGGAGATGTAAACAGCTAAAACTGACAAATTAGACCGTTTTTTTTGTCATACATCGTCTTCGAAATCGAGCGTTAGCAATGTTGACAGTGCAAGCGGCAGCTGGAGCCGGAGGCTACGATAGCTCAACCTGCCTCACCACCATCATTGCCATCTAGCTCCATAAGTGAAGCTGTATCCGTGGCCGTGGCTGTGCAACCTTCTTCTCGAGCCAGCCAGAAGGAGAGGCTGGATTTGGCTGTGCCCGGCGGTGGCCAACAGTTTCCCCCAAGGGCCCCAACTGATAGGGGACGCTATGGTGCTATTGAGACCCCCGACGCCAAGATCAAAAGCTATATTATAGCAACCGGTCCATCTAGGCCACATGTGTCAAACTCAAGGCCCGGGGGCCAAATCAGGCCCTTGGTGGATTTAATTTCGGCCTGCAGGATAATTTTTAATTACTATTAGATCTGGCCCGCCGGTATATTGCACGCACACCTTCACTCAATCCTGAGGATTTCCTCAGCTCAGAGCCTGACCCCAAACATGAACTTGTACCCAAGACGAGATGCCAAGTATCTGGCTCAAACTAGCATCACAGAGTAGCAAACTGAGTTTCAATGGATGTTTCCTTCTGCACTTTTTTTCTTGCGACAGCAGGGCATGTTTGGTTTTTTCTTTGAGGGAAATTGTGTTTTTGAAGCTGTTGTTGGCCTGTGGAAAAATGTAATCATAAGGGAATGACTCTGCAGATAGAGCCATAAGAAATGAATGCAACTGAATATGTAATGTTGTTTTTTATAGGCAATAATTTAAGCTTTGTTAGTTCCAGGTTTAATATTGCAATAAGTTCATTTCAATACGTTTTGCAATAAACATTGAACCAGTCCGGCCCTCGACTAGTACTGTTTTTTTTTATTTTGGCCCACTGCGTATTTGAGTTTGACACCCCTGATCTAGGCCTACCGGCCCATTCCCCAGAGACAAACGTCAAGGAAACAGGTGTAATCCTCCTGGTTTGAGGCCAGGGCAGGCTGTTGTTGATAGCTTATACATGTGGCGCTTCTGAGTGGTTGTGTATGTCCGTGCGTGTGTGAGCGCATCAGCGTGCGCTTATGTTTGGGGTGATGGGGGGCCCCCAAAACAATATTTGCACCGGGGCCAATCACAACCTTGTTACGCCACTGGTTCAGTTTGAAATTCCAAAGCAAAATCAATGACAGCCAATCCAGGGAATGGTGTGTTTGTCCATTCTAGGGAGGAAGGATACTCATCTAAGAGTTGATCATTTATTGTACAGTCATCCTTACTCACAGTTCAGCTTTGCTCTATAAATCCACACTTTGATCCAATATGAACGATCGTTGCTCGTCGACTTGCAGGTGTCTCATAAACTGTGCTGGTACTTTTTAATCAAAGGGGTTGTGGTTGTAAGATATTGAATCATAATACTCCAATATTGTGTTAAGACAATATAGTAAGATAAACAGTCAAATAATAATAATGTCCTATAAATTCACAAAAGTAGTGTTTTCTACAAACACGAACAACCTTTGTTTGAAAGAGTTGTCTTGGATTTTTTTCTTAGATATCATAGTCCAGCATCAGAATTTCCACATCAAACATCTCAGAGCCACTCGGAAAGTTTGACTGAGTCTAAAAGTACTCTGAGCTCGGAACAGGAGCTTCAAAGTGATCTACTTCCTACACAAAAGCAGGAAATTCTCTTTTGACAATGAATGACATTATGTTGTGACACTCAAAACCAAAAGAAAAATGATGTTTTGTAGTTGCTCAGTTTAAGTAAGACTGGAATGAAACGCATTCAAAAGACTGGCAGGCAGATCCTCTGTAGAGCTTGATGCAAGAAAAAAAGAAAGCTATTTACGAACTGGTGAGGACCTATAAATATTTAACAAAATGTATTAAAATAGCCTGTGAAAATGACCTCTACTGTTTGATGGCTTACACCAGTTGGGTCCACAAATGTTCCTATATTAGATTGAGTTGGCATAGTTTTGTGCTTTCCCGATCTGATAAAAACCCAGGGTGCTTCAAAACTTGGGTAGCTTTGTGTGTCAGTGAAATTATTAAATAAGTAGGGATTTGTATCCTTGATGCTGCATTCAATTGCAAAATACAAGGCATCACATTTTGCAAAATTAATTACGTCTTTAGGACCGTGCTTTTAATTCAATTTGATTTAATTTAATCGTGCGTCAAATTCAGCATTGCCTGCTCTATTTAAATTTTTAAATACACCACAGCTGCTCGACCACTATTGCCATATCAGCATCTATTTCTACAGTATTTCCTGTCATTCAAACCTAAAGTTCACTTACTGCACAGTCTTCAAAATTGTAGAGGGGTCCTAATGGCACAGATTAAAAAGCCATTTAATACAGAAAAGGGGATTAGAAACACTATGGGCTGCACTAATCCTTAACCTTTAGTCCTGTTCTCATGGAGCCACAATATGCGCAAGACGATAGCATCACAGGACTGGAGTTAGTACATTTCCATTAGGGCCGCCCTTCTTTATTCCCACCAGCACATTTAAAGGCATTAGGCATGCTTTGTCAAGGCTAATAAAAAGGGCCAGCAGTGCTATCACACACCCCCGACTTGTTTTGGAAAAAGCACTGTTCCATGTGAAGTTTTCATAACCCATTATGATAATCTGCCCGAGTCTCTGAAGGGCAGGGGATAGACAGGCGGATAGATGCTTCTGGGGTGACTGCTCTACAGCCTCTGCATGGATTGAACATTTTTAGCCTGCGTAACTGGGACAGAAACTCCCTCCTATCTCCCGGAAAGAACAGACACATAGACGACTCAATGCAAGATGAGGAGTGTGGGCCGGGAAATAGGAACATTTTGTACAGGTGATAAAGAAGTTACATAGGTTTCTAAACAGTTTGAAGTATTTCTCTCCTTTCTCGCTAAAGGAAAAATACATGTTATCCACAATATTCTATTTATTGGTTGAACAAATGTGCGAATATACGTGACTCTTATTCTTAACTTGCCCCTGAGTTAGCCCAGGGTTGCCAACTCTCACGCATCTGGCGTGTGACACACACGCTTTCACTCTCAATGTCACGCTCTCACGCTGCCCAAACTATTCTCATGCCAAAAACAAGATGAACCGGTGATCGTTTTTGGTTGGTTATTTACAATGTTGAGTTGACAGCTGCTCAAGCTGTCGATCCGCTCCCTCCCCGCCCCCACCAATCTTAACAACGTTAACAGACAGCAGAGCAGTGGGAGCCGGTTGGTCAATCCCCGACCCGTATTGCGCATGCGCATATCTAAGATCCAGTAGAAATGATAAAAAGTAAAAGTCTGCTGCTTATTGTTCTACTAGGCCAAAATAGAGTCAAAGAGTATTTGAGAGTGAGAGTATGTTAATTAATATATTTGGCAGTTTGGAGTAAGTCTGTAGATTTGTTTGTGTCTGTGTGTTTCATGTATAGGCCTCTAACGATAATTAATTTTGTTGGATACATTTTCCCGGAAATTTTTGCGATAAACGATAATATTGTCGGCACCGTTGTATCATTTTAGACCACTGACATAATGATATATATAAAATAATTCAAGTACATCATTTCAAACTGCTAATCACATCCTCATGTAAATGAAAACATTATCGAGTTCATTTTTATTTATCGTACGATAAGTCAATGAATTACTTTTCGCGACAGGCACACAATAAAACAGTGGAAACAAACAGGTGTTTGACTTTCATTAGTGAATGAAACTTTTGCCCTTTATAGTCTGTGTCCAATATTGTGTATTTCATTTGTATTGTATATATATCATGCTAAGGTCCCGCTACTGACACGATAGCAGTCATTTAGTGTGCATATGTGTAATTAAACCTGAATTAAACCCATGATATCAAAATCTCACTCCAGCCAGGTACCCAAAGTTGGCAACCCTGGTTAGCCTTAACCTCCGCACACACTTTGTACAGTACACTAAGTGAGTTTCAGAGGAAATGGGTTTCCTTGTTTGCCTTATAAAAAAGTGGGAATGTCACATTTGGTCCCTTGTACGCCTGATTTGAGAAGGACCACATTTCTTCGTTCTCTTTTGGGCATCCCGCTTCTACTCTCTGCATCGAGCAGAGTGTTTCTCTGATAGGAAACAGGATCATGCTATCTCAATTTGTGCAGCGCAAAGATTCAATTTTCTGCACTTTGTAAGGTCCACTATTGGTTATACGGTTTTATTTATACATCATAGTCCATTCATTATTGATTTGTTTTTGAGACATCCAATTTTGATGCCATTTTCTTGAAGAAAGGCCGGAACATAGCTTCAATCAAAGATTTTCAACTGTTATAGTTTAACTGTTAAGTGGGATTCTTGTTTTTTTCAAGACGGGCTTAAACTGTAAATGTTATCAGCTCTCAGTATATGTTTCTCATGAAAGAAGAGTGGGTTATTTCAGTATATTTTGGTCCGTACTGTATGTTTTGGCCGCATGTCCTGCTGAGCACTAAATCTGTCTGCTTTTATAACCAAAATTGTTTTTGCAAGATCCTTCCCTCAGTGTGCCCTCTCCATGATGTAACTCCCACATCAATGCTCTATTTAAAGTCTGAACCTGTGTGTCTCTTAAACCACCTTCAGTTTTTACACCTTTTCTGTTGTGATAGTATTGTATTTACCTCTCTTCTTCCTGTTCACAGGCCACTACTGAGCAGAAGAAGCTGAGCCATGCTGGATCCAAGCCCTCCCTCTCCGAGAGCAGCGGCCGACTCCCTCAGATAGCCATGAACACCTGCAAGTACAATGGCGGAGTGGTGAGACCACTAGTGGGCAGCCTGGCGTCCTCGTCGCGCCGCAACCTTGCGGAGCTCGACTCGGAGACGCAGCCCTTGCAGACACTGCACAGCTCTGGCCTGGAGGTGGTGGTATCCAAGGGCAACGGCGGCGAAGACCCCAGCAAGGCGTCCAACGAGAGCCTGGTCAGGGAGGGCAGCGCGCCGCCGGATGCAGGGCAACACAGAAGAAGAACAGGGACAGGATACAGGCTCGGCCACCGGAGGGCGCTGTTTGAGAAGCGGAAGCGGCTCAGCGACTACGCACTCATCTTCGGGATGTTTGGGATTGTCGTCATGGTGACGGAGACGGAGCTGTCATGGGGGGTTTACACTAAGGTAGGTCGTGCGTGCGTGTGATGAATGAGTGGGAGCTTTGTGTGGTGTCACTGCTATTGTTGATTTTGGATTTGTGTGGGGTTGGCAGCTGTCACATTCATGAAGAGTGATTATTAGCACAGACACTGACAAGCAATGTCTAACAAAGGTGATGGAGTATCTGTCAAATTCAAATCAAAAGGAGTGTCATGTGATCGATGACTAACAGCCTATTGATTGGATAAAATCTATTTTTTCTAAATCTAATTTTAAAGTAATTTCTTTGCTTTTTTCCAACTTTTTTTCTCATATCCACTTTTTCATTATTGGTATCAGATCTCAGTCTAGCCAAATGATTTGTTTCAATACTGGTGCCTTTGTGGCTCTCTGTGGTTCCCTGTGAAGGCAGCATCTGCTAATCATGAGCTCTCAGCAGGAGAGGGAGATGGAGAGGGGGATAGCTGAGGAAAGGGGATGAAGAGGAGATAGATGTATGGGGGTTTCTGCGCAGACATAACAGATAAAGACAATTAAAGATAAAAAAAGGTCAATAGGGAAACAATGGGAAACAATTCCAACAGCATGTTTTTACTTGTATCAGATCAGAGTGTAGAGGACGCTGCACACGATAGTAACATGTGACTCTTGAAGAAGCAGGGCATTGTGGGGTCAGGGTCGCTGTGACCTGGTCACCACCACTTGACCTGCTGTTGTCCTTGTGTATCAGCCAATCACGTCTGCTGCGTAAGGGTATTTTAGGAAGAATACTGTTCTCTCAGTGCACTCAGCTTCTACTACAATATACAATAGCTGACTTATAGTGCAGAGCGCTGGAGGTTAAGGTAGGTCACAGGACACAGGTCTTTGATCGCAGGGAAAAATAAAACCTTGGTAACATCTGTATGCAAGTTAAAAAGGAACAGAACAACATAGCTTTATAGGTGTTATGCCATGTTTTGAACCCATTTACTACAAATTGTGCATCTCTTAGACATTACTGATTACTTGGTGTCCAAATCCTACAAGAACACATCACAACAGTCTTATAGTATGATAAAGTTGTTTATTTACACCTTCAAAGTTAGCATTTATTCTGAGACATTTTGTTGGTAACCTGACAAATATAAATCCAATACTTACCTCTGCCAAGAGGTTGTGTTTTCAGTTTAGTTTGTTTATCAGAAGAAATACAGGTCCTGTTTTCTTGAATGTTGGTGGAAATGTTTAGCGCAGAGAATGAATTGCAATGAAAATGCAAAATATTATTCTTCACTTTCATTCACATTTTAAGGATATTTTAGGACTGTGTTGTCCCAGTTGTCTTGTTTTATCTCTGTTTCAGTCTTCACCAACTAGTGAGGAATATGTGTAGGTCTTTAGCTTGCCATTCTATTTTCAAAAGTGAATGGCTAACCTTGTCTGTGCGCTGGCTGGATGCTAACTATGTTCTTTGTCTGATTGGTATTTGTATCTGTTTACCTTCTACTATTCATTTACTTGGTTCTAGATAGGTAACGTACAGTAGGTTTATCAATGATTAACTACAAATACATATTATATTCAGTTCAAGTTAGGTCTCGCCACACATACAAAGGCGTGTGTGTGTGTGTGTGTGTGTGTGTGTGTGTGTGTGTGAACTAGTAAGAGACTGTGGTAATCTATACAATGATAATGGGGTCTTAAGGAAGTCAATGGGTCTGTCTATGACTATTACTGAGTGAGGTTCAGTCCATTCATCAAGATGAGCACAGCTGAAATGGAAGTGACCTCCCACCTCTGAGTGTTACAGTCGATGCCACACACACACACACACACACACACACACACACCACACACACACACACACAAACACACACACACCACACACACACACACACACACACCACACACACACACACACACACACACAACACCACACACACACACACAACACACCACACACACACACACACACCGATGGATGGTCCTTATTCCGTCTTACGCCACATCATGCAGACTCCTGAGGCTCAGCTGAGGCTTTCTGGGACCAGAAGGAGAGAAAGAGGCAGGGAGCACTGGGACTGGAAAGTCTTGAACCTCTGGCAGGTGGATTAATTGTTTACTCAATATTATTTCACCAGGGACCTGTCAAAACAACGTCTTGAGAACATGTCGTCCACCTGAGGGCCAAAGCAATCTAGTTGATAGCTAAAAATACATTCTGCAATATGGACCACCGAAGGATAGAGTAATGTTGAGCAGCTCTCACTTTCATCACACTGACAATTATGAAGGATATTTCCACTTGTTGTTCTTGTCATTTGTCGTCGCCGTTGTTATTATAATAACAGCCCTACAACCGTTAGCCTTCTGCAGGCCGCATTTTTATACCCTTGATTTATCAAATAGCATTTTACCAACCATCATTTCCTAGATCTATGGCCCCAGTGTCCACACAAACACAACACAGCAGCGCTAGTCTCCAGCTGGCCTATTTATCACCAGCATCGCTCTCTGTGGTTCCCCCCCTGCTAATGCTAGCCTTGCCTTTTCTGCACCTACCATTAAGTGGAAAGTCCCCCTCTAAGTGCTGCGCTTTGATTAATTAGTAGTTTAGATGCTGGGGAACAGCATCCATAGATAATATTAGGCTGCACGTCTACACCTGCAGCTGCGTTGTTAAGCAACACCCTGACTGCCCTGTTTGTGTGTAAAACCCCATTATCTGCTCTTTTACACACGTCTGGGCTAATAAGCACTCTGTGTGTGTGTGTGTGTGTGTGTGTGTGTGTGTGTGTGTGTGTGTGTGTGTGTGTGTGTGTGTGTGTGTGTGTGTGTGTGTGGAGGTGAAGGCTGTGTATATACTTTCATGGACTTACATGCAAGTGTTTATTTGGACATTTATGCTACTCATAAAAGCCAACATAAAAAAGTATAACAATTATGAATGATTAAATGCACTCTCTCTACTACTTCATTTCACCTTGTTGCTAAGTAGTATCATACAACTTAATAATCATTGGTTTATGAATTGATAATCTATTGATAATCTTGTTATGTATATCTTATGTAAGATCTGGTTGTATGTGTTTATTGTGTTCACTTAACAATGTCTGAAATCTTTTTTATTTTCTTCTTCTCTCACCACAGGAATCTTCATACTCATTTGCACTGAAATGCCTTATCAGCCTTTCCACTGTTATATTGCTTGGTCTTATAATAATGTACCATGCCCGGGAAATCCAGGTGAGTCTAAATTAATAACAACCTTTTGTTATTCTTTTTATTTTAATGATACCAGCAGCTTTTGGTATCAGTTTTGGGAAGATAATGTTCATGAAGTTTTCATATTTGGCAATTGGGCCCTGGTAAAAATATTGAAATACAATGTTTACTACTGTATGCTTAAAAAAATTATATGAAATGGTATAATCTATGAGTTAGTTATTAAAATACAAAGAATGATACACAGAAGAAAAGTACACACATTTGGTTGAACAGAATAAGAATCACAACATTTGTGGTATTTTGTTCAACAATAAAAAATAGATAAACTGTTATACATAGCTACTAAATAAATACATCTGTAGACAACTTTTATTTTGTACATGAAGTTGTATTTTGCAGATTTCTATTGCATTTGTTTTATTATTATTGTGCTGCTTGATCTGAGCGGCATCAGTCTTCTGATCTGAGTTAAATAAGATATACAAATCTTGGTTGCCACTTTTTATGGCTATAGCAATACACTGAATGCTAAATGTCTATGTGTCTTCTCCTTCATGTTATACATATTTTACTCTCACTTAAGCATGACTTCTTCATATTCTCTTGACTAGAATTTCAAATGAAATCTGTGGGTTTGATTTGAATAATGTGTCTCACAATCTAAGTTTGAAATGATAAACACTTTCAAGGTGTGGGGGTTAAAAGGGATGAAAAATGCTGAAAATGCCTCAAACACCCAACTGAGTATTGCAAGTAGAGATTTACAACAAGTCTTTGATGTTTGTCTGTTTTTCTTTAAAGCTGTTTATGGTCGACAATGGTGCGGACGATTGGAGGATAGCCATGACGTATGAGCGGATCTTCTTCATCGTGCTGGAGCTGCTGGTGTGTGCCATCCATCCCATCCCGGGCCATTACGTCTTCACCTGGAAGGCGCGGCTGGCCTTCACCTACACGCCGTCTGAGGCCGATGCTGACGTGGACATCATCCTCTCCATCCCCATGTTCCTGAGACTCTACCTGATAGGCAGGGTCATGTTGCTCCACAGCAAACTGTTCACGGACGCTTCGTCTCGCAGCATCGGCGCTCTCAACAAGATCAACTTCAACACACGCTTCGTCATGAAGACCCTCATGACCATCTGTCCGGGAACTGTTCTGCTGGTGTTCAGTATATCCTCCTGGATCATTGCGGCATGGACTGTGCGCGTCTGTGAGAGGTAAACACAGAGTTGTGAATAATGGATGTTGCTGGGGACAGATTGAAAAAACAAAATGGCTGATGCTCATTCACGCGTTGTGGATTACTAGACCCCTTTCCTTCTTCACTTTCCTGTCTGATCTTTCCTAGGTTTCTCAGTGTTGCGTTGTTTTCAGTCACTCAGCTGCACTGCCGGTAGAAAGAATTAAGGGGAATAATCTAATAATTGACGTATAAATATTGTACTCATGAAGCCGTAATACATACTACTCCACTACTGTTTAAAAACACACAACATACGTTTCATTAGCTCAGCAATTGCTCCACGACTCCCCGCGCTATAGCTATTTTAGATGGCTTGTCCATAATTCATGAGCGTCTAATTGTTTGTTTGCTGAATGGTTTGTTTTGGTAATGCAGAGCAGCCCCTAGGATCCCCCAACCCGTTTTTCTCCCCAAAACTGCGCATCATGCTTCGTCTCCAGGGAACAGCAGCGATTCTCAGTGAAAGGGAAAGAGGCAGGCTTTTTTAGTTTTCTTTCTCATTTTGCATTTGCATAGGGAAATGAGACATTAATGCCAGCTTTGATGTTTCAAAGTCATTTGTGCGTTGGAGTGGAAGGGGGACTTAAGTAGGGAGGGTGGAGCGTGGAAGATCTATAGCAACAGTTCCTGACAGGCCTAATATGAAACTGCACATGTGCTGCAGTGTAAACATCAGGCATCCTCCTGCAGCCCTCCTCGTCGGCTCTTACTAAGTACCCCCTCCCCTTCCTCTACCTCTCCCTCCCTTTTTAACTCCTGCCGTGTTAACACCTGTCACTAACCCCCCCCCCCCCCTCGAACGCCAAACCCTGGATCCTCTCGGACCCTCAGCACCTCCGGCTGTTAGTCTGTGGGTTTAAAGCTTGCAGAGAAAAGAGCAGCTGCTTTGACCCCTGCTCCTCTGGAACACAGTGAGGTGGAGCTGGCGTCACCTCAACATAATGTTGGCACACGTTCAAATATCACACTGTCCAGTTTTGTCCTATTAGCCATGTCTCTTTACAGTCCAGCTCAGCAGGCTACTTACTCTTTGTTACCCAGCCTCAAAGATAAACAGAAGTTTGATATTTAAGGGGAAGATGCTTATTAGCATTCCTATAGAAAGTAACAAAAGAAGATGGATGCCACTCTTATGTACTATGGTTAATGTAGCTTGAAACAGCCGCTTAGCTTAGCACAAAGACGTGAAACCAGCCGAAACCTGAGAAAGTTACTGATTCCAGCCTTTAAATGGTTTGGTAAAAGCGAATAATGCTTTAAACAAAGTGTAAATTGGTGAGTTTGAAAAATATTTTGTTAGCCAGACTTGCTGTTTCCATTCTAAGCCAAAGTTAGCCCTACAACTGTTTCCCCAAATGTTTAACTATTCTAAAATTGTAATAGCAAAAGTCTTTGCTAAACATTGAGACACTGTATCTAATTAAGACAGGTATTCCATATGAAATATTTGGTAAATAACAACAAGAAATAATCCAGAACCTTACATAAGGCATTTGGAAACCTGGACCTAACCTGTCTTTTAAATACAAAACGCAGAATCATTTTCTTCAGACATGTTCTGTGACACATGAGCAGTGCATGCCGTCAACCCTTTGCTTTTTATTTCAGAATAACGTGTGTTCAGATGGGTGGATTTGTGTGTAACTGCGGATGGGTGCGAGCATGCTGTGTGTGGTGCATGTGTGTGTGTTTGTATAATGTTTTGTTGTACTTTCTATTTCCCCACTATGCTGCTCCATGGGGATACCATGTGAGTCCTCGTTCTTTAGCCATGGAACAACACCACGAATCGTTTTGCACCGAGCTGGCGCCACTGCTGCCCTGAGTGGGGTTGGAGTGGGGGGGGGGGGGGGGGGGGGTAGTGGGATGAAGGGGAAGCCCCTCTAAAACAATTAACCGATGATCCTTTCCAAACTCAGTATGGCAAAGGAGGATTAGGCAGACCCTCTAGTTGGCATGAAAGTGGCACCATCCTTCTGCTAAGGAAACAAGCTTTTAATGGAGTAGGAGACCAACGG